CACTCTGCTCTGTGATATGCGCCCTGATCACATGAGTACCCTCAGCAAGGGTCAGAGTCGCACCCTCAGAGCTGGTCCCCAAAACTCCCACTGGACTGAGTTTCTGGGGAAGAAAGGTTGTCTTGATCACAGCCACATTTAGCACAGGGCTTTGCATGAACTAAGTTCTTTAGAAATGTGATTTAAAATCATGCAAAACACTCTTGTGGTTTTTCTAAAGATCAGAGGAAAGTTTTGTTAAAGTAGTCCTTCTCTGGAGAACATTCACTTTCCAGTTAAGGAAGGGGAAGGATTGTCTCCGACAATCTGACCAAAGGGACAGAGAATAGAGATACACCTGCCGGTACTCATGAGTTAATACAAAAATAACTTCAGGGACTCCTTAACTTTTCTAATAGTTTAGCCATGTATATATATATGTGTGTGTGTGTGTGTATATATATATATATTTTTTCTTTTTTTTTGAGACAGAGTCTCACTATGTCGCCCTTGGTAGAGTGCTGTGGCATCACAGCTCCCAGCAACCTCAAATTCTTGGGCTTAAGTGATTCTCTTGCCTCAGCCTCCCAAGTAGCTGGGACTACAGATGCCTACCACAAAGCAAAGCAATTGCCTACCACCAATTTTTTTTTTTTGTTATTGTTGTTGTCACTGTTGTTTAGCAGGCCCTGGCTGGGTTCGAACCTACCAGCCACAGTGCATGTGGCCAGTGCCCTAACCACTGAGCTATGGGCGCTGAGCCATCTTATCAATATTTTTGAGGGTTTTGCTATGTACTAGATACTCCCACATGTGCTATGGAGCTGAAGATGAGTAAGAACCCATCCCAACTCTAGTGGAGCTGATTTTGTATGAGCAGAAGCAATGAAGAAATCCAGTTATGACAGGTGACCAGATGGTTTATCTGAGACAACCACATTTCTATTCTTTTATGCTGAAAACTGTTACTTGATTGCAACTAAATCATCAGTTACATAGATTAATGTTTCCCCAGATCCTTAGCTAACTTAATGGTGTTTGGAAAATAATCTTTTTTTCTTAATATCACATTTTTCTTATTGAATGTCATGGTAGCTTGAGCTTAATTTTAACAAAGTCTTTCAAAATTTACCACTTGTTGGAGAGACATTAAAGAGTAAAAATAGCTTATTAATCACACAAGGCATCTTTGCATGGTAAATTTAAACTGGTAACTTTGCATAATGAGAAGTTGAAATCAGAACATGTATGAGGAGCAGAAAAAGCTCTTGAGCCCCAAATTTTTGATTAAACAGTCATCCTGTCTCTCCTCTTTGCTCTGTTGCCCATCGCTGCCTTGCATGGCTATTTATTTTAATCATTTCTCTAAACAGATATTAATAAACATTAGAACTTCCGTGGTGCCCTTCACCTCAACACAAGCAAAACAAATTAATTTTCTTCTATTATAATTGACTTATTTTTCTATTATTTGAGTGCTTCCCGTGAGTTGCATGTAAAGTACAGAATGTCCGGAGAACATACAGTCAGCCATTTGGATGGCAACCATTTCTCCAGAACTACACAGCTGATTGCAGCGTTAAACAAATCATTCCATAGAGTTTTACATCAGAACTTGTGACTGAACCTTGACCAGAGGAGAATAAGTTCGGCAGGGGAGGCACAGGGCTTTCAGAGACACCTCTCACCACTGTGGGGGAGTGGAGAGAGACCGCCTCCCTCATGAGAATGGAGATAATTTCTCCCCAATCAAGACATCACATAGACAAAGCAAAACCATTGGATAAAATGTACAGACACTGTCCTCTCCATACCTACTGAAGATTTCAATATTCTGCTCTATGTTTTGCCCAGTGTTTTAAGGGTTCTACCCCTGCCAGCAAAATAATAAAATAATAGCACCAAGGCTTTCTCAAGTATGCCCTCCTTACTTTTGAAGCTTAAAGCTCAGCCTGCTCTGGGAGTGCTTCCTCAGCACCCAGCTGAGCCCTCATCCCCTCATCTCTTGCCTAAATACAAAGCCAGCTTCCAGCTCTAACCACCTCCTCATAACTCCATGGCTCTTCCATCTCCAGGGCTACTATCCCAGGAGGCTTCCAGATGTTCCCTAAGTACCAGGATCCTCAGGACACTCCACTGCCAATCAGTAGGAGGCCTGGGAAAGGCAGACCACAAACCATAAGGTCCCTGCAAGACCAGGGAGCCAACTTAGTGCTGGGCCAGTCTGGGGACCAGAGAATGAAGGAAGCTGTGAAGCCCTGGAGGTCAGCTATTTGGGATGCTGAGAAGAGGAAAAATGCAGGGTGAAGGGTTTTCTGCCCAGCCCATTAGCCTGCCTGAGCCCACAGACGCTGTCAGTCCCTTTGAAAACTGCTCTGGGGACTCATCTTTTGACCCTTTTGGTCCCCAGCCTGTGATTCCTTGGAGACCTCAAGGGTACTTTCTGTTCTTACCGTTCACTTGAAACTTGATCATAGGCTCCTTGGGGATATCTCTTTTCTTGCTTTCAGACTATGATTTAAGTTTTCTTTTTAAATTTTTCTTTTTTTTTTTTTTTAAGACAGAGTCTCACTTTGTCGCCCTGGGTAGAGAGCTATGGTATCATAGTTCACAGCAACCTCCACCTCTTGGGCTCAACAGATCCTCTTGCCTCAGCTTCCCAGCTAGCTGAGACTACAGGCACCCGCCGCAATGCCCAGCTAATTTTTTACAGTCGGGGTCTTGCTCTTGCTCAGGCTGAGCTCAAGCAATCCACCTGCCTCCCAGAATGCTAAAATTACAGGCATGAGCCACCATGCCTGGCCTTATGATTTAACTTTTCCCCAGGGGATGTTTGATCTCAGTCAGCTCCTTGAGGGCGGAGGAGGCCCTGGCACTGGGTGGCAATCTGGCTGCAAGGTAGGCACAGCAAAAGCTAGGAGAATCAATTGTTCTTGTGTCTACTCCTGCAATATTAAGTCGTGTCATAGGAAGCATGATAGAAAGAACTTTTGTTCTGAGAGCATGCAAATTAGCAAGGAGAATTAAGGCACTATTTAAAAGATGGCAGAATCCAAAATAATGTTTTTCTGTAATTATTTGAACACTCCTTTAGAAATGTGTTACCTAATTTTCTTCATCCTTCAAGCCATTTTGTACAGGTAGACTTTCTTCAACCATAGCCAACATCCCAGGCCCAGACAGAAGTGTCTCTTGAGTGGACAGGTGAGGGTCTCAACAGCAGAAGCTGCTCTATCACTGCTAATAAATGATCTTCAACTTCTCTGAATGCCAGTCCTCATTCTGCAGAAATGACAATTTGTTTCATTGTAAGCTCCCATTATTGTCCCCCCAAAATAGTATATTTATTCATTTATTCATCACATATTTGCTGAAAATCTACCATTCTACTGGCAAAAATTGAACTAGAAGCTTGGAATACAAAGTCAGAAAATGCATTTACTGCCCTCAAAAGTAAACCTACGGGAGTGACAAGTAGCTATATTTGGGTTCAAACACAAATGCTCAAACATAGAGGAAGACTCAGAGAAGGTATCCCAGAGTTGAATGTAGCATACAGCCTGAGTCTGGAAAGATTGGCTAGTGAGCCCTTGGGTGTAGGAAAAGAACAAATATTTGAAGCAATGGGGATAGTTCATGCCCAAACAGGGAGGTGTGAATGAGCCTGGAGGGCTCTGACAAAGAGGAATGGTCTGTTGGAACAGACTGTCTGCTGGGGGGTGGGGGGGCTGTGCACACACATATACTTTGGAAGAAGGGGAAGTTGAGGCTGGTGAAATGGTAAATAGTCTTGACGCCATCTCTCATTTCTGTTTTATCCAGTAGATAAAAGAAAACAAGCTGAGCTTTTTCAGTCATGCAAATAACATAATTCAGGTTGATTTTACTAAGTTTGTTCTGATGTGTAGAAAGAATTAGAGGGTGTTGTTCCAGAGGCCAAGAAACCTGAGTCTTGCCTAGACTCTTATCTCTCAGCCTTGGTGAAAGCTATAAAGAAAAGACTAGATGAAGGGAGAGTGAGGCTTTAGAGATCAATAAAGCAAGCCTGAGCAAAAGACAGACTCCACCTCTATGAAATATTAGGGGTGTGTAGTGGCTGGCCTGTGGTCCCAGATACTCAGGAGGCTAAGGCAAGAGGATCTCGAGTCCAGGAGTTTGAGATTGTAGTGATCTATGATGATGCCACCGAACTCTAGCCTGAGTGACAGACCAGACCCTGTCTCAAAAAACAAACAAACATGGCTCGGCACCTGTGGCTCAAGCGGCTAAGGCGCCAGCCACATACACCTAAGGTGG